TTTTTCATGGTAAATAATTTATTTTGTATTTTAATATTTTTTTATATATTTATTTATTTAATTTATTTTCCTCAACATATAGAATAATTTAATTAATAAAAAATGTAATAATTTTATATTCCAATGACTATAAAATCTTATAATTTCAATTATTACTTGGCTATATAATTTTATTTACTCATTATCTTTATAAAATGATATATAATAAAAATTTTAAATTTTAACACATTGAATAGTGTTTTTGATGTATATAGATATTTTAATGTGAAATTTATAATTCTTAATTTTACCCGACCATAAAAAGATATTTTTTTATTAATATATATTCATTAGATTTTAGTTTATTCATGGTTAAATTGACTACATTTTATAAAAGTTTATTAATATTATAAATTATTCATTAAGCTAATATAATTTAAACATAATAATTTTCATTATTTTATTATATATTTTAAGTGTTTTTGATTGATGAACATAATTCATATCTACAACCATGAGACGATAACTAAACTAATCAAAATATTTTTATAATTATAATGAGTAATTTTTTTTAAAATTATGTTAACAAAATTACTGTGAAATTGGTATTATTGGTCTTATTCAAAATATATCTAATCAATCAATCATTCTGTTTAAGTGTGTGTGTGTGTGTGTTTGTTTGTTTATATATTACTGGTGATTTTTCTTCTTTTTTTTTTTATATTTACCCAAACGTCAAAACAAAACTTGTACTAATACATTTATATTTTTGGGGTATATTATTAAAACAATTTACTTTATCTTCACAAATATTTAGACCAACTTTTACTTCAAGCAATAATTAGTTTATATATTTTCAGAGTTGTACTAATACATCTATATCTTTGAGTATATTATTAAAACAACTAATTTATCTTCACGAATCTTTGAGACCAAATTTTAATTCAAACAATAATTGGTTTAAATCTTCTCATATTCCTTAATGGACTAACTAATTTTGGTTTTTGTAATAAATGAATGTCTAATAGTAATTGCCAAATTTAGCTGAAATATTTAGGCTGGAAAATTTGTGACAAATATAATAAAATGGATTTGTCCATTATATAGATATAGATATAGATATAGATTTATTTTTACAAAAACTCAAATCTCAAAAAATTTTAAAGTATCTCTTAAATCCCAAACAAATACACCCTCATTATGGTTGGAGGTGGGATTTGGAGTGATATTTCGTACAAGATTTTTGTTTATGAAAACTCACCAAATCTTGTAAATCTTAATGTCAATTAAGTTAAATGACTTGTGATTGTTAAGACTATTTGCAATCTCAAATGAAAACCTTAAAATTTTTAAAGTCTTAAAAAGTCTAAATCAGATATACTGAAAATTTTAAAATCTCAACAACTCTTTAAGAACCTCAAACGATACACCCCCTAATACTTCTAAGTAGAGATATATGTTTTATTCGACTTACCATGGGTTCCAATTGAATTTTATATTTCAATTTGACTACCAAAAAAAACATAGGGAAACTCTTTTGAGTTTGAATTGCAATCAAATAAGAAGTTGATGACTTTATAAGACAAAAAATTGTGGTGATTTTCTTTTCTTAATTAGGCGTGACATCTCTGTCAAACAACCCACCACATAATATTAAGACTACATTTATCGGTAACCCAATGAGTGGGTCAAAAAAAAAAAGAAAAAAAAAAAGTTACATAATTGATCTGAGGGTCGCGACAAGTGTATTTTTTTTGTTTAAAAGTAAATAAAAAAAATAATAAATTTTTTATTTTTTTATTCTCTACAAATATAGACCACTCTTGATATATTTTTAAAATAAAATTGTAATTTTTAAATAAATTAAAATAAAATAAACATTTAGTTGAGTTGGGTTTGGGATAAAAATAAATTGAGTTGTAATGTTGAGTTGGGTAGATAAAGAAGAGAAAAATAATTTTTAATTGTTAGGTTGAGTTGAATTGAATTGGGGATAAAAATACTCTAAGCCATCGGCATACTGACAAAATCGTAGTTGTCGAGCGAAGTTGCGTTCCAAATTGAGACAAGAATGAAAATTGTTTATAATTAGTTAAAAAATTAGATTAGAAAATGGATTAAATTGTCAAATATAAACGATTAAATTTTGATTATTACAATCCGACCTAGAATATATTGTTGTAGTCTTATTTTATCATAGTAGAATCAAAAGATTCGAACACCGGGTCGTGTTCTCAAGAAAGGTTAGCCGGATTATTTTGTACGTTTATTCAATCACAAAAACAAAAATATTCTTAAACACTCTAATTCAATTTGTAGGCTTTGATTATCAACTAATAAAATGGAAATGAGCTATTTAAATGTAGCAACTACATAATACAATTCAAGAAGATAAATGTAGTTCCAAATATAAATAAATGAGCTAAAATGATGAAGAAAATTCCAAGAGATTTAAATGGCTAGGGTATCGAGACAATCGCTTTCGGATTTATATAAATTTGACGGCAATCAACAACTCGGTTAAAAGGCTCGATTAACTAACTCATTTAGTGGTTCATCCTCACTAACTCTCGTAATATGCGGAAAAACATAAAAGAGTAAATTAACGAGACAATTAACACATAGACAATACGTTTCCGAACATGTCTATTCTAAACAACCTAAGTTCTATCAATTTCGCCCCTCTCGGTTTTGAAATCGATTATATAGATTGAAATGGTGATCAAGCATTTAATCATGAGATTAATAAAACTTATAAAGATTGAGCCATTGAAATACACACAAACGATAACAAACCGAAACGGTCATCCCCTCACCCTAGCTAGAAGATTAGTTGCTCATAATAAGTTTAACATAAACATTCACATTATAACAAGCCATCTTTAACAAAGATAAAATGAAATAGATAACTCACTTGTAATGAGAAGTCCACAAGAGCAAATGCAAATTTAATCCAAGTACAACAATGTCTTCAAAGTTCTCCAAAATAAAAGCAAATACAAACTAAAAAAACATAGGAAAGAAAATGGTGTAGAAAAATGGAAAAGGAAAATGGAAGATGATGGATGATCCATAGGATGAAGAAAAGATGTTCTTATAGCCTTCAAGACCATGTTTCCAAGTGTGTGTTGTCCCCTAAGTGCTCCAGTACCGAGCTTTCCAATTCATGCCATGTTTTGAGGAAAAAGAATTCTGTGTTGCAGTACAGCCTGGGTTAGCGGCCGCTAAGGCATTTGAACTAAACGGCTCTGTCCCAGTTATCTTCTCATAGCGCCGTTATCAAAAAGGGGATAGCGGCCGCTAAGGCCTGGCAGCTACCAACATTATTTTTTTATGCTCTCGTGCTCTCGACTAGAGTCCTCGGTTCCCACCTGACTCGAAAACTCAATATACGGACGGCTACCTGAAATCACATCAACGGAAAAAACACAAAAACCAAGAAAAAATAGAAAGAACACAACAAAAATACCACAAATGCCAAAATAACAATAATAAAAACACAAGAAACGACTAAATGGACCGGAAAATCCTAATAAACGGCCTAAAATGGGAAAACGACCAATAAAATGCCAATAAAAATAACAACAAAAATGGGACAAACAACTCCCCCACACTAAAACCTTTGTTCGTCCCGAACAAAAAGAAAAAGAAGGAGAAAAAGAAAACGCACAAATGCGCAAAGATAATAGTTTCAAGCAAAACTAATCTCAAACGAATCAATCAAACCAAGAAGAATTCAAATGATCACAAGAATACACCTCAACTAATAGCTTGGTTATTTTGAAAAACATACTCTCAAGTACGAAGATATATCATATATGCCTCACTCAATTTCATTTCTCAAATATCAACGGGTACGCTCGAATTGGTCATCAACCGAATTAATCATAAATTTGCCTATCGTCTAACTCTTACTCTAAAACAATCAAATTCATGCAATATTGAATCAAGAGGACTTTTTAGGGATGTAACGTAGGCTCTTTGGACTGGGTAGGATAAATATAGGCTAAGTGGCTAAATAAAAATCGGATTCGCTCCATTCATTCACATAACCATGAGCATAAACTTTTCCGGTTGTTAAACATCAACCGTTTCCTCCCATATCTTCAAAACCAATACGCTAGCCTCATTATTCACAATATTTTTTTTTTTATATATATAGGAATGACAACCTTAGGATATTCATTTTCCTTTGGTTTCATTTCAATTTTTTTTTTCTTTATACATCAATATATACAATATCGATACTAATCACTTCCCAATCTTCACAATACCACTCGTAATTCAAAATGTCATCATCACGGGGTATTTTAAGAAAGAAACAATACGGCTCAAAGGGGATGTCTAGCGGATTTATTTTCACAAAAATAAAGGAAATACAAAGAATGCCTCAATTATATTCATATCGCACAAATTCGACTAATTCATTTCAAAGTAGACTCAAGGCAAATCCTGATTGACAACAATTTCGACCAATATCACACAAGAAAAGAAACGAACATGGCTCAATCCTCACAAGGTAAAATATTTTGTCAAACAAAACAACCAAGCATTTCATCGAGATATATCACTTATTCACATCATCGCAACTTCTTAACTCAACCAACCGTTATTGACTAATTTCACAATTCACCACAATCTAAACTCATAAAGACACAACAAAAATAATTCCAAACCGGTCCATCAAGCAAGAGAAACGAAATAAAAAATAATCCTAAGAGAAAAATTAGACTTGGTAAATCATATAGGCTGTGAAGGGTCGCTGCTGCCCGCAGTCCAACGAGTATCCCATTGGCTGAAACGGGTATCCCATGTGTTCCACTGTTGGTACTGTCGGTCCGCCCAAGTGTCCCATCGATCGTCATGGGCTGTCCAGTGCGCTGCATTATCCTGGACAAAATCTTCCCATTTCTTGGTCTGCTCCGTCCACCGCTCGTTGTTGGATTCGACGAATGATGTCCAACGTGCGTCGTTGGACTGCTCAAATGATGTCCACCGTGCGTTGTACTGCACGAACGACGTCAACGTGCGTCGGTTTGCTTGGTAAAAGCCGTCCAACGGGCATCATTCCAAGCTTCATACTCGGAAAACCAAAGCGGAGCAGCTGACTGAGCAGGTTCACCTGTGTGCTCGTCCATCGACGGTGTAGGCCCACCCGTGTGCTCGTCCACCAACGGGAGAGGCTGAATAGTGTTCTGAGCGGGTTGTTCGTCGGCCTCCGCATTTTCTCCGTCTTCGGCATGAGAGGTCGTGGGAGCTGGTTCGGACTCGTCAGGTGGGGGAAGAGGCAAACCCATTTTCTTACAATAAGTTTCGTATGCTTTCCGTTTTCGGACGGGGCGCGCATGAGTGTCATCGATAAGGAAGTCGGCGTTCCATAGTTCCTTCTGCGAAAACCAACCGGCGAGGATTTTAGGCTCGTCAACCTCGACCCCAAAGTGGTTCGCCAACTGTGTCACAACATGCCCCAAAGTCGGACCACGTCTCGAATCATTATGTATGTCATAAAGGGACTCCTTGAGATACTGTAGCATGCTGACCGGTTTGTCGTTCGAGATCGACCACAAGATGAACACTTGCCCGAACTCACTTTGTTAGATTCTTTCTTCCCGAATATCATGTGAGAGATGTACCACTGAATCACAACATGAGCCAAGTCGGTAAGCAAGCCGGAGGACGCCCCATGTTTGTTATATGTCTCACACGGGAAATGAGCACCCAATGTGGGTCGACCTTCAACCTTGAGGGCTGTGACGTGTTGCAATGTCGGTGTTGAATTTGTAAATATCGCACAACACCTTATCGGTGATTTTGTACTCATTCCCTTTCATCCGAGCAGTGAGGTATTTGCCTTGGTCGTGTAGAGCGATAGTGCTGAAAAACTCTAAGGTCAAGTTCTTGTAAGCATAGGCCGGCTTGTTCTCGAATTCCTCCAAGTCAAGCAACTGGATGTAGCGGAAAATGTCGCCACCAATCTCAAGCTCGTCGTTGAAATAGTCCCAATCGATTATGCGTGGGTGGACAAAAGGTTTATCAGCGAGCCGCTGATAATCCTTTATCTCATCCATTGAGTAGACCTTGAATGGGACACCGTGTAGTTGAGCGAGATTCTGGGCTTCGGCTACCGGGTCGAGATTGGCGCTTGTGGAGGCAGCCGCTTTGGACGAGGATGCCGCGGGAGCCTTTTTCTTCGATCTAGTGCCACGACCGACCATTGTGCGTTGTTCGGGCAAAATGTCAAACAGGTGGCGTGCGGGGTTGGAGTGTGAGAGCTTGTGAACATATGGATCGCGTTCAAACTCGGAGTAGGCCTCCTCTTGCCTCAACACGCAACAATCCAAAGATAAGTAAAGCTAATGGTACCTTCGTAGCCGAAATTTGGGTCAGAGAGGAGTGGAATGGACGCGAGCTTGAGGTGCGGGATTTGTAGAATGACAAGGAGATGACCGGAGAAGATGATGACTGAGGAGAATCACCACTGAGATTGTGTCGCGGGAATGTCGTGATAGCAGGTCGTCGCCGGAGTATCGGGAATGGACGGAGATGGTGGCGGTTGCGCGAGTTAGGGTTGCTGCGATGGCGGGTAAATGGGTCGAGGTGATGCTGGCCGGAGGTAGTGAGGTGATTGGAGCAGGAGTCGCCGGTGATTGGGTGGTCGGAATTGCAGGTGGTGGTCGTGGTGGTGAAAATCGCCAGAGGTGAGAGCTCGAGCGAGATGTTTTGTGTTTGGGTGAGAATGAGTGTTTGTGTCGGTTTTTTTTTTATGAACTCTGGGGGCCATAGCGGCCGCTATCAAAAACAACACAAACTCTCTGTGACAGTTATGATTTCATAGCGCCGCTATGAGTTCCGCCTTATGGATATATATATAAATATAAAATAATATGTACAAGTGTGCTCGGTTTATTGCTGGGAGCTCGGCACTTCCTCGATCAAGTATACTGTGGTTCGCCGAGATCAACGATCTCGACGTGTTTCGTTCCGACTTCTCCTCCAAAGTAGGGCTTGACCCTTTGTCCGTTCACAACAAATAACTCCCCATTAGATGGGTTTCGAAGTCGAACTGCTTCGAAAGATAAAACTTCTTCAACAACAAACGGGCCACTCCACCGGGACTTAAGTTTTTCCGGAAAAACACGAAGTCGGGAATTGAAGAGGAGAACTTGCATGCCCGGCACCATCTCCTTCCGGATAATACGAGCGTCGTGGAGTCGTTTGACCTTGTCCTTGTAAATCTTTGAATTCTCGTACGCCTCATTCCTCAATTCTTCGAGTTCCCTAGAGCTGTAACATTCGCTCTCTTCCGGCGGTATCAAGATCAAAATTCATCTTCTTTATCGCTCAAAATGCTTTGTGCTCGATTTCGACCGGGAGATGGCACACCTTTCCGTAGACGAGCCGAAAAGGGCTCATTCCCAAAACTCCTTTATATGTCGTCCGTTGGGCCCATAATGCATCGTTGAGTCGATGGGACCAATCTTTCCAGGACAAGTTCACCGTCTTCTCAAGAATGGTCTTGATTTGCTTGTTGCTCGTCTCCGCCTGGCCCGACGTTTGTGGATGATAGGGGGTCGCCACCTTGTGCGATATACCGTACTTCTTCATCAACTTCTCGAATATGCGGTTGCAAAAGTGCTTGCCTCCGTCACTCACGATGGCCCGTGGAAATCCAAACCTGCTCAAAATATTACCTTGCAAAAACTTGATCACTACGTTAGCGTCGCATGTCCTTGTGGGGATAGCCTCGACCCACTTAGACACATAATCAACGGCAAGCAAAATATACTCGAAACCAAAGGATTTAGGAAATGGTCCCATAAAATCAATGCCCTAAACATCAAAAATTTTCACTTGAAGATTATTAACTAAAGGCATTTCATTTCTAGAACCGATATTTCCAATCCTTTGACAACGATCGCAAGATTTGCAAAAATTATGAGCATCTCGAAAAATACTAGGCCAAAATAAACCTGATTGGAGAACCTTAAAGGCGGTCTTTCGACCTCCAAAATGGCCTCCGCAATGGAGCTCGTGGCAAAATGCAAGAACGTCCGCTTGCTCCTCTTCGGGTACACATCTCCGAAGAACCTCGTTTTTTCCCATTTTGTAAAGGAACGGGTCGTCCCAAAAGTAGTTCCTGCACATCAAAACAAATCATTTCCTCTCTTGGTAAGAGAGGTTAGGCAACAAAACTCCGTCGGATAAATAGTTCACTATGTCCGCATACCAAGGATGGTTAGTTACTTCACCTACTTGCTCATATGGAAAATCATCATTAATACTAACATGCTCATGCAATGCAAGTGAAGACTCGGAAGGAACAATGCGAGACAAGTGATCCGCCACAACATTTTCACACCCCTTTCTATCTCAAATTTCGACGTCAAATTCTTGTGAAAGTAAAATCCACCGAATAAGTTTAGGTTTCGATTGAGTTTTACTCAAAAGATACCTAAGAGCCGCATGGTCGGAATGAACAATCACTTTCGATCCCAAAATGTAAGACCGAAACTTCTCAAGAGAAAATACTACGGCTAAAAGTTCTTTTTCGGTAGTAGTATAATTTAATTGGGCGCCGCTTAGGGTCAAACTAGCATAATAAATTACACGGAGCAATTTATCAACTCGTTGACCCAAGACGGCTCCAACCGCAAGATTTGACGCATCACACATAATCTCAAAGGGTAAAGACCAATCAAGAGCGATAACAATAGGTGCAGTCACAAGCTTATTTTTCAATTTATCAAAAGCATCTAAACATGCATCATCAAACACAAATGGCACATCATTAGCAAGCAAGTGACACAATGGTTGGCTAATTTTCGAAAAAATCTTTGATAAATCGCCTATAAAATCCAGCATGACCCAAGAAACTTCTAACGCCTTTCACATTTACGGGAGGGGGTAACTTTTCAATCACATCAACCTTTGCTTTATCGACTTCTATCCCCCGACTAGACACAATATGCCCTAACACGACTCCACTTTTCACCATGAAGTGACTCTTCTCCCAACTCAATGTCAAATTAGACTCGATGCAACGCTCAAGAACACGAGACAAATTATGGAGACAATGAGAAAATGAATCACCGAAAATAGAAAAATCATCCATAAATACCTATAGAAAGTCCCCGAGCATGTCGGAAAATATGGAGAACATGCACCTTTGGAAAGTCCCGGGTGCATTGCAAAGTCCGAAAGGCATCCGTCTAAAGGCAAATGTGCCGAATGGGCATGTGAAGGTGGTCTTTGGTTGGTCCTTGGGTGCTATGGCTACTGGGTAGTAGCCGGAAAGTCCGTCTAGGAAGCAATAGAATTGGTGGCCGGAGAGACGGTCGAGAATTTGATCGATGAACGGCAACGGGAAATGGTCCTTCTTTGTTACGGCATTGAGTCGCCGATAGTCAATACACATTCTCCACCTGGTAGTAATACGGGTGGGGATCATCTTCTTCTTCTCGTTCTCAATGACGGTGATACCCCCCTTTGTTCGGCACAACATGAATGGGGCTAACCCACTCGCTATCGGCCACCGGAAAAATAATCCCTTCGGAATAGAGCTTAAGCACTTCCGTCTTTACCACTTCCATCATGTTCGGGTTAAGCCGCCATTGGCTATCCCGAAATGGTTTAGCGCCTTCTTCTAAGACGATCAGGTGCTGCACGTGGAGGGGCTAATGCCTTTAAGATCTCCGAGGCCCCACCCGATGGCTCTTTGATTCTTCCATAGCACCTCAAGTAGCTCTCTCTCTTCATTTTGCGCAAGCTCGGCGAAAATGATTACCGGCTTTTGTCTTTTATCATCGAGGAATACATACTTGAGGTGTCGAGGTAATTCTTTGAGTTCTAAGGTCGGTTGTGTTTGGGGCTGATCGGCTTCAAAAAGATCAATGGTTGGCTCTTTGTCATCGTCAAAGTCGGGTATGTGCCTCGCCTCCCACTCTCGGTTGGCTATCTCTTTGATGAACAGGTCGGTTATATCAACAAATGCACACTCCTCCACAAAATTCACCGAAGATGATGATGTGGCGTCCCGGACGGAAATGGATACGGACTCGCCCAAAACCGTCATGTTAAGCGTCCCGTTCTTAACATCAACGAGTGTGTTAGTGGTGGCCAAGTCTTCTGAGAAGGATAGTGTGATCCTTCCCGTTCTCGTGCACTTCTCCCACATCGGGAATAACAAAATCTACGGGGACAATGAGCTTCCCCACACGAACAAGCACGTCTTCCACCACCCCCTTGGGGTATCGTATAGAACGGTCGGCAAGCTGGAGGCACATACGAGTCGGTCTCAAGTCACCTAGACCGAGTCTTTGAAATATCGAAAATGGCATAAGGTTGATTCCGGCCTCGAGGTCAAGCATCCCCGAAGCTTCTTTTCTATTCCCAAGGGCTATTTTGATCACGAAACCCCCGGGATCACGTTCCTTCTTGGGAAGGTCGTGATGCATTGCACTCGCCGCCTCGTATACCACAACCTTCTCCCCATCTTCGAATCTCCTTTTCTTCGTCACCAAGTCTTTGAAAAATT